CCCGAAAAAAAAGTCTAATTTGAGATGCATTGTGGGATATGTAGTTTATGGGCAATGTGCTTCTGTAAAGCGGCATGTCACCGAATAGTAAACATATTATATTCTTTGCAAGCTCTTTTTGGGCCACATTAAATTAAGTCGCGGGTCGGATTTGGCCCCCGGGCCTTAAGTTTGACACCCCTGATTTACATGCATAGAGACCTATCACACGACAGGAAAAAGCTTAATAGGGCACCTTTAATAAAAAATGTATTACTGATCCTAAATTCTTCTTCCCTGTCCTAGATGCTCCTCATGTGAAGATCATCAACTCCCTTGTAGTCCCTCAGGAGGGTCAGTACTTAAAGCTGGAGTGTATGTCCAAAGGAAACCCTTCGTAAGTCTCTCAAATTCTGTGTTAGTTGATGTCAGCTTTTTATGCTTCAGACAGGATCATAAATCATGCCTTGTTTCTCTTTCACATCCACTCACCTTCCAGGCCAGACCCTGTGATGTGGACAAAGGACGGGGGTGAGCTTCCTGACCTGGACCGGATGATTGTAGAGGGGAGGGAGCTCACCTTTACTTCGCTCAACAAGACAGACAATGGCACTTACCGCTGCGAAGCTAGCAACCACCTCGGGACCAGCAGCGCTGAATATGTACTCTACGTCTATGGTGAGTTCAAACGAAAGGCTAATGTGTGGGTAATGTGTTCCATGTGATCACATCTAAAGACAAAGGAACAAAGACAAATCTTGAGTGTCTTAACTATCACAGGTATGAAAACCACCGCGAAAAACTAAAATATAATACATCCTGATCTGCATTCTGTATTAGTCCTAAGAGTGATTAGTGGTGCCATCTCTCACGGGGAGAATAAGCGCCTCAGGTGACACAAATGCCACCAACGCCTTTCTTTAAATAAACCTGTGTCCCATATACTACACACACACACACACACACACACACACACACACACACACACACACACACACACACACACACACACACACACACACACACACACACACACACACACACACACACACACACACACACACTCTCACACACATACCAGGAGGGAAATGTCTGAGGGAGGCAGAATTTACTGCTGCGTTGTCAGGAATATCACCAGGAAGGATAAGTAATTCCAAGTCAGAGCCAGAGGAGGTGGGGAAAAAGGGAATCAGTGTGAGGGAAAATAGATAGCTCTTCCTCGCTGCTTTTTTTCTACACTTCCATTTGTCTCTTAGCATTAAGTAATAATGCTTAAAAAAGGAGCCGAGCCGTGACACATATCTTATCATCCTGTTTTAGAAATGTAGGTAGTGAGCGATTAGAGAGAAAAAGGAATGTAGGAATGGCCAGAGAGACATACGACTGGAGGCAAAAGAGAATTTCCCTAAGTGGATCAATAAAATATTACATTATAATCATTACATGCACTAGAGGGGTGACTCATTTGCTCTTTGATTCAAAAGTAGATCTTAGCTAATGAACATGAGAGAGAAAACCATAGCCGGTAGCTATGCTTTGCCGGAGCTAGAAGTAATTTCTCTATGTTCTTGAGTGTCCTTGGTAGATTTACAGTTAAACCCTGACGGAGGAAGGCGAAGCTAAGGTTACCATCAATAGTTCATGAACTGCTTTCTAATGGCCGTAGCCAAGTCCAAAGCAACATGGGGAAACCTCTGAATGTTGATATTTAAATGACGCAAATGCTTTTAGTGAATTCTGAATAAATTTGTTTTAGGAAAGCTTTTGCTGTTCCATAACTAAGATAAATACTTGAATAATGTAATGTGCTGCATTTACATGTAAAGCAAATAACCAGGTTAACACTGAATATAGTCGTATACCATCTTATATTTGTGATGTTTCCTTCAAATTCAAATCTTGTGTGAAGGCTGTGAAATCCCATACAGGTAAGGTTGTCCCTCGCCCAAACACGCTGTATCTAAGTGCCAGTGACTAGTTAAGGGGGTTTAATGAATATCCCCCACGTGTCTGTGTGCACCTAACAATTCCTTCAAATGCCAGTTGACTGTAACAACAAGAATAACCAGTGCACCTAATTACAGTGATGTTATTAAACTGACAAATAGTACGCCACCAAAAAAGCAATTTGGTATTGGAGGGTCAAGGAGTCTTATTCATTACCTGTTCTTTTTGAAATGGCACCCAGTCTGTTCCTACCCTTCATTAGTGATTAGCAGACCTTTTAGCCTTTTGCAATTGCAGCTATAATTCTTTGAAAATACCTTTTTAATGGTCCCCCTCCAACGAGGAGATGTTCTCTCTCTACCCTCTTTCCTGAAGACGTGCACTTTGCTGCTTAGTGATTCACACCCAGGCTGAAATGTCAACGACACACGCAGGAGAGTTGGCCCTGAGAATGAGTACCACAGCCAATTAAAAGCCTCAAGCTCACCATAAAAAGCAGAATGACACAAACATAAAATCCAAGGTGGTAGTGTAACCTCATTAACTTTGTCACACAGTGGTTCATTCCCATTTTTTCTGTTGCTCTAACTTGTGACAGTGAGAAACCCTGCCTTGTGTGAAACAATTGTACCATTGCTCTGTAGTGAGAAGTTTAAGAAAGAGCCTGGTAATGACAGCTTGGCTAACTTCTCCTGAAATCCTCCTCGCATACATTGATAATTGGCACTGATCATTCTGTCAAAGCACTGTCTTCACTTGGTGTAGAGTGCAGATTGCATACTTACAGATATCCGCCCACATGAGTAGAACCACAGTTAATCATATTCACATGCTACAGAAATAATTCTTACATTCAAAGGCAGAACTTTTTAAATCAGAATGACGAGGAAGGGTTTGAGTCTCTAACATAATGTGAAGAAGTCAGACACTTTGCCTGAGACATACCCACAGGCTACTCCCACCTAAAAGTTCTGAATATAGACTAAATATTCTCTGGCTTTTACTTTAATTCAGTATATGCTAAGGAGCAAAACAGTAAGTGGAAACAATTCAGCCTTTTATCCAAGTTGTTATTGTTTCTCAAATATGACTCATGCTAACATTGACCCTAAAAACACCATTAAAATGCAATCAATGAGAAATTGAATGAATGTATGTCTTGTAGTGCATCAGGTTACATCAACAGTATCTCATTATTCCATTTCTGAAAGTGTGTGTTTTCAACAACTTTATGTTAAGGACTTGTTCCCCGTCACTGTAAAATGTCATTTTTTGTTGTTTTTATTTTTAAACTAACTGCCCCCATATGAATTCATTTTTGTTGTTGTTGTTGCTGTATTATTTTTGTGTACATGTGTCTGTATGTCCCCTCCACCAGACGTCCCCACAACCCTGCCTCCATCCACCACTCTCCCCCTACATCCCATCCCTCCAGATCCTACCGCTCAATTAGGCACCCACGACCCCACAGTCACTGGCAACAGAGGTACAGTACCCCCCCACACATCTCCACAGCCCCCTTAGCATGCTACTATATATATTCACATTTCCCTCTTACTCTCATGTCTCCTCTGTCCTATAACTTCTGTCTTCACTGCCTCAAACTCAGTGTTCCTGCCACATGTGGACACACTGAGAACTAAAGTATATCTGATGGTAAAAGAAAATATTTCCTTTCTAGCTTTTTTTTATTTTCCCCCTTTCTCACACAACTGTTTTTGTGACAACATGCCCATACAAAAGTGCCCTGTTATGTGTTTTACATTAAGGACATTATTCAGAGTTCCTGAGTCCCATTCTGTTCAAATAGTGTCAATCATTTCAAATACTCCATTCACTGTCCCTTTGGCATTTCAAAGACTTCAGCACTTCTGTGCCCTGAAACCTCAAAGAAGTAAATGTCATGTCCAACTGGAAATGTCCGTCCACTGGAGACGTCTCATCATGACTCCTTATGCTGTGTTTCGAGCTTTGAGACTTGAAAGGCTATTTCTCCAAGTTAACTCTGTAGCCACATGACGGACATCTTACTGCTGTTTGGTGTTCTTAGAGAATCTTTTCCTGAAGGGTATGAATGCTGTTTTATATAAATATTAAAGCATTTTAATTAAAAAATATGAATAAATGGATGGGGATAAATGGCTGAAACAGAAATGCTGGGAAGGCATAAAATACTGAGGTTTTCTCACATTTCAAGCTCTTCTCCTTCTAATGACATGGCTGATGGCATGCAGAGAGGTATGGTTATGGATTCAAATTTTAAAGTGTGCAGTATGAATAAAATCATCTTCATCCTGCTGAATTAATACCATTCACAGAAAGCCTTCCCTTCTGCACACCAAAACCCCCATGCTATTGTTAATATCTCTCCAAATTGTGAAGTGTCAAAAAGATAACTTAGCACACAAACCCCATAATATGAACCCACAAGGTCAAGTGTGGTGGGCTGGTTTGCTGCCAATCAGATGAAAGTATTGGTATGTTGATGTCAATTTTGTGCAGAGGAATACGCTCAGGCTATTGTAGAACATTGGGGGATACCAGCTACCAGCATATGGTTTATTTCTGGATAAATATTTGCTTCATCTTGGGCGAGGTTGGGGATATTGTATGATAGCAGTTCATTGTGTTATCCACCCTCCAAGTTGTAGCCAGAAGGTCACTGCTGCTTGACATGGCAGCATCCCAAGAACCGTTGACCGCCTTCAGAGCGATGATCTCTACAGGGGAGAGTTCCTGCTGACCTGGACGTTAAAGGGGAACGATTTGAGGAATTTGAGAATGCTGCCAACACAGTGGAGGCAGATTTGGAGGACTTCGGGGAAGCCCTGCCCTTCCTTCTGGTACAGGTCACTGAGTTGGTCAAAAGCCCTGAAGTAATAATGTGCCAGATGGATAAAATTTCCCCTGAGGTGGTGAAATTTCTGAATTTTGTTTTTGTGTCTTGGTTGACATGCCTTCACAATATTGCATGGTTGGGGACAGCTTCACTGACCTAACAGATGGAGATGGAGGGTAGTGGTATCCTCCATTTTTAAATATAAGACTGGATGTTTTCTCCAAGTGTGTTTGTGCCAGTGTCCTGGAACGAAGACTCTGGACGAAGATTAAGAAAGTACAATGTAGATTTTGTTGTGGTTGTTGACCATTGAACCAGCTCTCTGCCCCCTTGCATAGATACTGTAATGACAGTGTTTCCTTTGGGTTCTTAGGGAATGGCCCTACAGGAATATATAAGTGCTTGGGCCATTATGAGCAAAACAGGCTAGTATTATCAAAGTAGCATCTGTTCCCAATGCTGATAATGTAGTCTGTGTTGTTTATGCTGCTTTTGATGTATCTGAGTTTGTGTTTGCATTAAAAGGAGCCAGATGATTTTATTCAAACACACAATGAAGTATCCTCTTATTGAATTGTTCCTGAATGTCCAATTTGAAGTGGCTCCGAGTCTCAAGGAGCCAGTTGGTTTCAGCACCTGACCTAGTTACCTACTGGAAGCCTCTCTATGGAGGTTCTCTAGCCAGCTCGGAGGAGACCATGTGGCGGGTGCTGGAGGGATTTCATATCCCACCTGTTTTTTGAGACTCTCAGAATCCTTCCGGAGGAGCTGGAAGACATGGCTTGGGGAAATGATATTTTGGTGTCAATGTGACCTGGATAAGGTGCATTAAATAGATAGAGAAATGGAATGTATATCCAAAACCTCTGGGAGAATATAAGTTGCTGTAGCCTTTTAATCTATATCTCCTAAGGCGACCTGTATAAGAAAAAAATGTATTCATGTTGAATAAACGGATTATGTTTACATGAATTCTAATATGTATCTTTATAATCCAAAAGCAGTTTGTTTGGCTTTATTCTTCATAGCAGCTGGAAATGGTCAAATATACAGGTTTCTTTCACCCTATTTTAAAAGCCCTCTTTGGACCTTGTGACACATGTAATCCCCACAGAGGTTATTCAGTTTGACAAAGGAGAAAGAAAAGGTTCAAACATGTTTGGTTGTATAGCAGTTTGTCTAGTGATTCTGTCTTGTCACATGTCTGTCTCAACCACACTAATGCTGACATGGCGCCATGTCTGCTATAGCAGAGTGATATGTCAATCAAAGTTTTTCAGTGACTTGTCAATTTAAAACGAATGTGCTGTGATAGGCAGCACGCCCAAAAGCTTGCTCGTCATAGAGCATCCTAACGATAACTTTTCATTATACAACAAAAACAGCATACCCGGAATTCTGAATCAATGTAACTTTCTAAACGTGTCAAGGTGATGTGTAAACTGACCATTTCTAGAAGATTAATCACATCAAATATTTGTTTTCCTCTTTGATAAAATATTAAAAACGGTATATTATCTTTCCCAAAATAAGTATTGAACACACTTAGAATGAAATTGGAGCGTTGGGTAGTTGAGCGTCCTTGGTCTGACCTCTCTCTTTCTCTCTACCCAATGTCTACATAGTGCTCTGTCAAATAAATATATTAATATATGAGAATATGAGTATTAAAATACATTAATATTAATATAAAAGACTACACACTGATCTTTTTTCTTTGTCCTACATTTTCCTGCACTTTTTTCTGCAGTTCTGTAAGGCAGCTTCATTCCTTTTCATTTATATGTCCGTTTTCCATAATTTACCTTTTCTCTGCTTTTTCGGCTCCCTCTCTACATGGTGCTTCACAGTCACATTCACTCCGAATAATTTCCACTCTTCACCGCTGCTTTCTCTAAATTACCATCTTCAAAGTCCTTCAGGAGTCTCGCCTCCCCCTCTACCTTTCCCTCCGCTGCTTTGCTTTCTACCCAAGCTTCTGTTTCGCTCTTCTCTCACTCGCTTTTCCTTTCTACCCTCACATCTCTCTGAAGACCCTTTGAGATAACACGCTTCCACATGTTGTTGGATATTCCTCATCAGCATGTCTCAATTCTTCTCTGATGTCTGTTTGTGTAGTGCAGAGACACAAGAGAAGCTTATAGCCTCTTAGTGTATCTTCAGGGAATCTAAATATCAGACTCCTTCACTGCGTCCCCAGTCACAGGATACTACACTATCTCCTTTCATGTGTCTTCTTGATTTATTACCAGGTCTTTTTACAGGCTCTGGATGAAAGCAAACAACTGTGGAGCTGTACCAGCACCATGACGTTTTGTCTTTTTAATAAAGTTGTCTTGTGCAGTTGAAATACACAGTAGGATCAGCGCTACCGTCTGTATTCAGAGTATTAGCATATCATATGACTGATGAGCTTCTTCGTACCAGTCCTGCATCTTTTAGAAACGACGTGGTGCTTTCCAAACAGAAACCGTTTTTTGAGATAAGAAAAAAAACGATCGATTTTCTCAACCCCCTTAGACCTAGCATCCTAAATGAACCCTAAGTTAAAAATCATATAAGATATTAAAATCCTTATGAATATTTATTCGCCGTCATTATGTAACATGTTATTTTTATCTGCTGGCTCTTTAATCCAAAGCAATTTACATACACTTACGTATACATGCCTAGGTAGTCATTTTGTGGTAAAGTATCTTGCCCAAGGCGTAGTTTTATTTACAAAAAACGAATATATATATATATATATATACTGTATATAAACATATCTTGTTCTTTTAAGAAAGGGTAGTCTCCAAGACCTTTAGTGTTAATACATGATTTGTAAATTAGGTCCTAGAGAGAGGTCTTTTTGGCTTTTTGTCTTATTAAGCCCTGTTAGCTACCATGGCAACCACAGGCCAATGGGAAAGCACGGTGAGGCTGCTGGACTCCGACCGGATGCTGAACTATCATTAGGCCTGGGGGCAATGTTGTATTCTAACAAATTGGAGGTTATATTAAACTGATCCAAACCAACATTAATATTCATTGTTATGAATGATTCACATGTTTGCTCATAAATTACCCTTTTGGAACTTTTATGCCAGGAAAAATATGAATGATTGAGGCCAAGATCCAATAGGTGTTAGTCTTGTGCTTTTCACAGATGTGCCAAAAATAGCCTTAATTTCACTCTTATAATAACCCTTATAACTCCCAGCCCACAGGTGAGACACAAGCTGTATTTACGTAAATAAGTGAGAATGACTCTCTCTACATAATAATTTGTTCACAATAGGATTTCATGTTCTGTATTAAGAAAACAGTATTTGCGAGATAGAAAATGTGAGGTTCTCTCAATATGATTTTACAAAAACAGACGTTTTATTTTCCCTGACTTAGTGACAGTAAGAATAAGTGCCAAATACATTAATCCGCTGTTTAATGGAGGCCTTAAGTCACCCTTGAAGGAATATTAGTGAATAAATATTTCATACTGTCGACTCAGCGGTTCTATTGGGGAACATTTGACAGTAACCCATGCCTTTAATACTTGCTGTAGTGTAAAGGTATGCACACTATTCCTCTGGTTTTCATCCTGACTGTACAGCATGGAATGATGCATACCTGCAGTCTGTGATTCACGTTATTAATGAAGTGCTGGC